GGACGTGGGGGCGGGGCCCGAGCCCGCGGGTGGAGGCGGGGGCGGGGTCTGTACTCGCGGGGCGGGGGCCGGTGTTGGGGGTGGACAGGGCAGTGGCCTCGGCTGGCAGTGGGGTCGTGGAAAGGGTTGGAGGAGACCCCAGGTCTGGCCAGGCCCCAGTGGGCCCTGCTGCCTCCTGGTCGGCTTCCGCTGCACACGCTAGCCCATCGCATCATCGCGTCGTACAAACGAGGGCTTTGCGACCATGGCACTTTGTGGTTGGAAGCTGTCAGACGTTTGGAAGGATGTGTTTTGGGTGGACTTCTTTCTAGAAAGTCCTCAACAGGCTCACCTGTCTGCAATGGGAACGGCCTCCTGACCGCGAGGTCCGCTAGACAACCACACTTTCCAGGAAAGAGAAGTTTGGGCGCTCATACCGCCAGGAAATAATTGGTAATTTTGCTAGCAGTGATAATGGCGTGGTTTGTCTCCAGACACGCGCACGTGGATGGCCGCAGACCCCGCCCAGGCGCTGCCTGACCCCGGGAGACCCCTTCCACAGTGACAGCTCCGACATCCCCAACAAAATGGCCACCCTGGCCATCCCCGACAACCTGGCCATCCGGGCCACCCAGGCCATCCCGGTTATCCTGGACATCCCTGCGACCCTGGACACTCCAGGCACACCCCAGGCACACCCCATTGCCCAAGGCGCTCTCTCTCCACGCTCTTTTATCCAGCGGAAAATACAACAGCTGAAACGTGGACAACAGGAGACGGGCTGGGCAGGGGCTGCGGCAGGAATACCCCATCCCCAATCCCCGAATCCCCAATACAACATCCGGGGCCTTCCTTCCATCTGTCCACCTCAGTAAGGGTGGCTCAGAGCCCCACTCAGCCCCAAAGGTGCCACTCCAGAGGTGGGGCCCATCTCGTGGTCCCCAACTCTGCCTGAGCCAAAACAGGAGCCTGGAGTCCACAGGGGACATGACACTAACTTCTGCCTAAGCAAATGCCAGGTGTGTGTGAATGTCTATAAAACTACCATGAACATATCCAAATTCCCCCTAGAGGGGCCAGCCCGGTGGTGTAGTGGTTAAGTTCGCAAGCTCTGCTTCGGCGGCCCGGGGTTTGCAGGTTCGGATCCCAGGTGTGGACCTACGCACAGTTTATCAAGCCAT